TCATGGTGTTTCACGGCAGCAGTAGACACCCTGACATGGACACATCTGTTGATGCCCCTTTTCTTCCCCATCAGAGCAGTCAATGATGCCATGTGCCTTTATAGACTGTTCTGTTTGCAGCGCAAATCCTTCCCTCACTCCTTCCTCTGCTCACTTTATACTTCCCAAGGTAAGGGTGGAGGCCTCCAGTTATTAACATGTCTTCTCCTCTTTCCAGAATGCAGCAGACTTCACCACCATATCTGAGACAGAAAATAAAGAAGAATGAAACAAGCAAGCAATTGAGCTATTATTCTGTACTGATATAATACCTTCTAGGTGTGTTGGCTCCAAAGGTAATTTCCTGTGGCGAAGTATTAATATCCTCCGTGAAAAACAGTGAAATAAATGAATGTAAGCTTAACCAAAAAGCATCTATTTGATTCAGGAGAGAGAGAAGAGAAAGAAAGACAAACACACAGGGTGGAAGGGGAGAGAGAGAGATAGGAAGCCTGGTTGATTTGGGGAGATTAAGTAGGTTCCATATGTAATCTATTAGCATATAGCACAGATTATCAATGCTTGGGACAAGTAACACTCAGGACCTATTTGTCTTGGTTCCAAGTATGATAACATTTTATTTATTCATTTGTTTGTTTTTTCTTATTGAAGGGGACCCCAAGAATAATGGCTCCTTGTCACACAGGGAATGGAGCAGAAGAGCTGAGGAAGAGCAGTTATTTGTTCCCTCTTGGTGATCGACCTTCCCCAGTGTCCCTGTTCACATCCACACACTCCTCCTCCTCTGCCCCCTTGGTACCTCCCCACTGCTTTCAGATCCCTTCACTTTACTCCCTGGCTTTTACCTCGATGCTTAGTCCAATCCAGCAGGCATCATCTCCTTCCTTGCATTTGAGTGCCTGGTACATGGACATCAGAAACTGATGATTTCAGAAGAGACAGGTGAGTGAATGATTGAGTAGTGTTTGTGCTGCAGAACTGCCAGGGACAGCCTCTATTCCATTACTTCACTAACTACAAAGCAAACTAAGGCGTTGTTTTTAGGATTTCCTGGGTGTTCCTGGCCCTCACCACAATCTCCTTTCTCTTAAATCCTCCACTCATGTTCTTTTTGACCTAGTGGCTTTAGTGCCTTGCCACTTCTTTTCCAATACTGTGTCCTGACTGCTTCTTGAGTTGGGTACTATCACCTCAATAGGACAGGCATTTCTCATTTCCCTTTGTTTCTCAACAAGAGAACAGCAAAAGATGCCTGCTGGTTGCATAACTGATTTTAAAACTATGGATCCACAAAGACATCTCCTACTTTAATAAAAACCCTCTTCTAGTTAGGAAACTATATACCTGTTATATCCAATTTTATTTGCCTACTAGAACTTAATATGTTGTTTTGCCTGTAATTGTTCTTGGTACATTTTGCTGTCAGAAGACATTGAGCCACATCCCAGACCCACAATGACCCTATGTTACCTGAATGTATCTAGGAATCTGTGGGGACACATAGACATCAATTTCTCCATCCTCTCCTTTGGGAGCAACAATAATGCTTTGGGTTTCCATATAAAAATATTCCTGACCGCCTATATGTATTTCACTTAGAAGTCATAAGCTGACTGAATAAAACAGGCAGTCTCTCCCACCCACTCCCTTTGTTTCATGACGTGGAAATTCCACCAAGTGAGCTCTAGACAGAGAAGTCACACAGTGGAGGTGGCATACACCTACCTTCTTCTTTCAGGTTGAACTCAGAGAGTTAGAGGTGAATCTCGTGACTGTCAGTGTGTACATCTAGATGCGACAAAAGAGATCTGAGTTTCTAGAGTCAAAATTCTCCGACAGGAGACTTCTAGTTCCAAGATGGGATCAAATATTTTGCGTCCTCCCCCCAATTCCTCCCACTAAACACATCTAGTCATCTGAACCTTAAAGGTAAAGGGATTTAAGAAGTATGACTGTTAATTGTGCAAAATGGAGTCATTCATGTCATCCAACAAAGGTGTCATGAAGAGACCATTGGGGAAAACACTCGCTGTGTATATGTATTTTAAATCCATCTTCCAAGTACAACCCAAGTGATGAGGCCTAACTGTAAGTACACTATTCTAATTATTATTTACCAAATAGTCAATGCAATCCCCATCAAAATCCCAGCACTATTCTTCACAGACCTGGAAAGAACAATTCTTAACTTTATATAGAAAAGCAAAACACACAAGATAGCCAAAGTAACCCTGTACAATAAAGGAACTTCAGGCAGCACACCATCCCTGACTTCAAGCTCTATTATAGAGCTATAGTCCTGAAAGCAGCTTGGTATTGGTACAAAAATAGACAGGTAAACAAATGGAATCGAATTGAAAACCATGATATGGACCCATACACCTAGGAACACCTGATTTTTACAAAGAAGCTAAAATTAAACAATGGAAAAAAGAAAGCATCTTCAACAAATGGTGCTGGCATGACTGAATGCTGGCTTAAAAGATTGTAGATAGATGCATATCTATTGCCCTCACAAAACTTAAGTCCAAATGGATTAAACACCTCAACATAAATCCAGCCACAATGAACCTCTTAGAAGAGAAAGTGGGAGGTACCCTTGAATGAATTGGTACAGGAGACAGCTTCCTGAACATAACACCAGTAGCACAGACACTGAGATCAACAATTAATAAATGGGACTTCCTGAAACTGAGAAGCTTCTGTAAGGCAAAGGACACTGTCAGCAAGAAAAAACGGCTGCCCACAGAATGGGAAAAGATATTCATCAACCCCACATCTGACAGAGGGTTGATCTCCAAAATATACAAAGAACTCAAGAAGCTAGTCACCAAAACACCAAATAATCCAATTAAAAAGAGGTGTACAGTAATAAATAGAGAATTCTCAATAGAGGAATCTAAAATGGCTGAAAACACTTAAGAAAGTATTCCACATCCTTAGCCGTCAGGGAAATGCAAATCAAAACAACTCTGAGATACCATCTTGCTCCTTTCAGAATGGCTAAAATCAAAAACACCAACTACATTTTATGGTGGAGAGGATATGGAGAAAGGGGAACTGCTGGTGGGTTGTGCCAACTTGTACAGCCGCTTTGAAAATCAGTATGGCAGTTCCTCAGGAAAATGGGAATCAGTCTACCACAAGATCCATCAATTCCACTCTTAGGCATATACCCAAAGGGTACATATTCTTAAAAACAAGGACACCTGTTCAACTATGTTCATAGAAGAATTATTTGTAACAGCCAGAACCTGGAAGCAACCTAGATGGCCCTCAACTGAAGAATAGATAAAGAAAATGTAGTACATTTACACAATGGAGTACTATTCAGTGGGGGAAAAATTGAAACTTGAAATTCACAGGAAAATGAATGAAACTAGTAAAAACCATCCTGAGTGAAGTAACCCATTCACAAAAAGATAAACATGGTATGCACTCACTCATATATGGATTTTAGACATAGAGCAAATGATTATCAGCCTACAATCAACACTGCCAGAGAAGCTAGGAAACAAGGAGGACCTTAAGAGAGACATACATGGTCCCCCAGAGAAGGGGAAAGGACAAGATCTTCTGAGCTAATTGGGAGCATGGGGGAGGGTAGAGGGACTTAGGAGAAAAAGAAGGGGAGAAGAGGAGGAGGAGACAGGAGAACATGATGGAGCTAAAAGATTGAGTCAGGGGAAGAATAGAGGAGAGCAGGAAAAGAGATACCATAATACAGCGTGCTATTTATAGGTTTAAATAGAAATCTGGCACTAGGGAAATGTCCAGAGATCTACAAGGATGACCCCAACTAAGAATCTAAGCAATATTGGAGAGGCTATCTTAAATGCCCTTCCCGGATAATGAGATTGATGACTACCTTAAATCCCATCCTAGAGCCTTTATCCAGTAGCAGATGGAAGCAGAAGCAGACTCCCACAGCTTAACACTGAGCTAAACTCCTGGAATCCAGTTGCAGAGAAGAAGGAGTGATGAGCAAAGGGGTCAAGACCAGGCTGGAGAAACCTACAGAAACAGCTGATCTGAACAAGGGGGAGCTCATGGACGCCAGACTGATAGCTGGGAAACCAGCATAGAACCGAACGAGACCTCCTGAATGTGGGTGTCAGTTAGGAGGCCTGGAATATCTATAAGGCCTCTGGTATTGGAACAGCATTCATCCTTAGTATACTAATGGACTTTGGGATCCCATTCCACATAGAGGGATACTCTCTCAGCCTAGACACATGGCGCAGGGCCTAGGCGCTGCTCCAAATGATATGACAGACTTTGAAGATCCCCCAAGGAAGGCTTCAGGCTCTCTGAGGAGCAGAAAGAGGAAGAGAGTTGTTGGGGGGCAGGGGAGAAGTGGAGGGGGAGGGAACTGCGACTGACATGTAAAACAAGATTGTTTATCACTTAAATTTAAAAAACTGAAAAAATAGAATAGTAAAGTAGTGTCTTCATGGAATATCTTGTCAGTTCCCACTGTGTACTTGACAAAGCACAAGACACTGAATCAGAGCTGTGTTTTTACTCCCCAGCTGCCCCAAGTGCCCACTCAGCACTCTTATCTTTCCTCTTCCAAACCATGCTACTACCTTTGTTTAGGTCTCTACACGCTAACAGCCCATTCACTTAAAAAAATCTAACCAACCCCATTCATTGTGACAACAGTGCTTCCATTCATATGGTCAGTCATTAATCCAGAGACTGACATGGGAAAGACATGGACAAATGGATCTGGATCTCAGGACCTGTGTTTGGAGCACTGGGACAATCGTGTACCTCTCCTCACAAACATGAACAGAGAGCACAAGATTTCCAGCTGCCCTCTCTGAGGACTCAGGGGAGGAAGCTCTGCTGTGAGTGGCAGAGAGGAGACAGAAAGAGCCAGGATCCTGAGGAATTGCTGATGCCCACACTTGGAGCCCATGGATTCCCTGGGCTCTGGAAGCCACTGCATCAGATTTTCTTATCCCTATGCCAAAGCACTGTAACTGACATGCCAGTCATATCTGCTCTTTGGCTTCTGAACTGCCATCGACTTGATCCCATACCTCAATCGTTAGGATCAGAGGCTCTAATTCTTGGTAGACAACCTTCACTCGCTTTGTGACTTGTTTTGCGTGTGTCTCAGAATCTGCAATCATGGCACAGACAAGATGACCCACACAGTGTACCGAATGCTGTCTTTGTTGTATTGCAGTGGCCTGAGATCCCATAGCCAAAGTTAATCACTTGAAACTTTCAACTGGCCTATGTTAGAACAGCTTCACTTGGCCTCACACCATCTGGGAATCAGTACATGAAATATACACATAAATTAATATGAATCTCACTTCAGGAATTACAGTAGGTTGTGGAGTATCTACAACATGTAAAAGAACTTAGCACAAGGAGAAGGGGCTGGGTCCATAGGTCTTCTCAGGAGTGGAAGAAATTTTGAGGGCAGGGCCCATATATTTTTGCTGAGTTAACTTTAAAACACCATGGGACATATAAAAGTGCGGAAGAATGAATCATTGATTCATTCTATCAGAATCTGACTGTAGAGAGGGAGGGAGAACTTTCAGATCAAGAAATAAGGAACGACTTCACACTTAACTCAAAACGTGCCCTGTAGACCATTGGGACTAGGGTAACAGCTACAGAGACTTGCGGGAGGGGTTTGCAAATCACATGAATCGTTCTCTGCGCATTTGTTTTTTGACACTTCTTGGCAGCATAGCATTACACTTAATAAAATAAAAATAATATAATATGATATATTAATATAAATTATAAATAATATAATTAATAATATAATATATAAAACTCAGAAATGTCTATTTCTTTTAATTAAAGACAGGATCTCATGTATCCTAGGCTAGCCTCAGATTCATTAAGTAACTGAGGATGACCCTGAAGTTCTAATCCTTCTGCCTCCAACCACCAGGTATTAGATTAACACACAACCATGTCCAGTCTATGTGGTGCTGGTGGGGATGGATCCTGGGGCTTCCTACATACCAGGCAAGCACTCCAACAGCTGAGTCACATGCACCCCCAGCCTTGAAAGCAGCTCATATATCCAATCAGCTTCACTGAAGTGGGAAATGAATAAACTTCAATTCATACTTATTAGAGTATCAGTAGTTTATAATTACTGCTCAAGAATACTGAATTCTTCATGGTATGACAAATTAGACACTATCTCTATGAGGTGCCATTAACTGGGAAAGTTGTTAAAAAAGAAATCAAAAAGGCAATACCTCATCTGTGGCCAGGAACGTCTCTGTGGCGAAGGTGTTTGCTTCCTGAAGATGATCTGCAGTAATGATGTCCACCAAGCCTGGCATGCTGAGCACCTCTGACAGGTCTATGGACCTAGGAAGACAGCAGACAGCTTCTCAGGGCAGCCTCCCGGCCCACAGACACTGAGAATGTGGCTGTTGGGAAATAAGGAGTTGGGGAGGAAACTGCTCTAACAATTCTCCACCAAGCACAGGGACACAGTAAAGTGACTCTATGCCGGACATTTGTGAGGAATCCTACGTTCCAATCCCATTTCATCTCTAGTGTGGATGTCACCAAGCCTCCGTTTACCCTTTCCACAGCACTAATTTCTTTTTTTTTATCATTTTTTATTTTAATTTTAAATAGCTTGTTTTACATGTCAATCCCAGTTCCCTCTCCCTCCCCTCCTCCCGCACTCCCATTCCCTCCACCCTCCCACCCTATTGCCAAATCCTTCCACATAGGGGATATCTAGAGTCTGTCATTTCACTCTGGGTAGGTTCCAGGCACTCCCCTAAGAGTCCAGGCTGAGAGAGCATCACTCTTTGTGCTATAGGCACACGATGACTGTTTGTATTCCAGGGATAGACACTGATCCACAGCTCAAGGCCCCATAGGATGCCCAGGCCTTCTCGCTGATCACATTTGGGGGGTCCAGATCAGTCCCATGCTGGCCTCCCCACTGTCACTCTGGGGTCCAAGAGCTCTCTCCTGTTCAGATCAGCTGTCTCTGCTGGTTTTGCCAGCCCATTCTTTGCCAATTTGCTCATCACTCATCTCTCTCTGTCACTGGGTTCCTTGGGTTCAGTTCAGTGATTATTTGTGTGTTTGCCTCTGCTTCCATCAGTCACACGATGAAGGCTCCCGGATGGTTATAGACATCAAGTTCATTATCAGGAATGGGCATTCGAGGTGGTCCCTCCACTATTGCTTAGCTTGCTAATTTGTGTTATCCCTTTAGATCACTCGAGGTCACTCTGGTACCTGATCTGTCTTCTATCCTATGATTCCCTCTTCCCCCTATTCTACCCCCACCCACTCAACTTCCTGTTCCCCCATGACCAACTCTCTTCCTCTTCACCCCCTCTCTTCTTCCCAGGTCCCACTCCCCCCCTCCCCTCACCGTGTTCCCCATCCATTCAGAGGATCTTGTCTCCATCCTCTTCTCTTGGGTACTATGCATATATGCATATCTTTTAGGTTCTTTCCTGTTTCCCAGACTCTCTATCAGTGGAAGTGCAGACTAGCACTATCCTGATCCATGTCTAAGATCCATATATGAGTGAGTACATACCATGTTTGTCTTTTTGCGACTGGGTTACCTCACTCAGGATGGTTTCTTCCAGTGCTATCCATTTACCTGCGAATTTCAAGATTCCATTGTTTTTTTCTGCTGAGTAATACTCCATTGTGTAAATGTACCACATTTTCTCTATCCACTCGTCAGTTGAGGGGCATCTAGGTAGCTTCCAGGTTCTGGCTATTACAAATAATGCTGCTATGAACATAGTGGAGCAGATGCCCTTGTTGTATGAACTTGCCTCATTTGGATATATGCCTAAGAGTGGAATTGCTGGGTCTAGTGGTATATTAATTCCCATTTTCCTGAGGAATCTCCATACTGATTTCCAAAGAGGCTGTATGAGTCGCACTCCCACCAGCAGTGGAGGAGTGTTCCCCTCTCTCCACCTCCTCTCCAGCATAAATTGTCTTTGGTGTTTTTATTTTAGCCATTCTGACAGTTGTGAGATGTTATCTCACAGTTGTTTTGATTTGCATTTCCCTGATGGCTAGAGATGTTGAGCACTCTCTCAAGGGCCTCTCAGCCATTTTAGTCTCCCATAAATTGAGAATTCTCTATTTAGTTCTGTACCCCACTTTTTAATTGGATCCTTTGGTGTTTTGGAGACTTGCTTCTTGAGTTCTTTGTAAATTTTGGAGATCAGCCCTAGGTCAGATGTGGGGTTAGTGGATATCTTTTCCCATTCTGTGGCCTGCCTTTTTGTCTTTTTGACTGTGTCCTTTGCCTTACAGAAGCTTTTTAGTTTCAGAAGGTCCCATTTGTTAATTGTCGATCTCAGTGCCTGTGCCACTGGTGTTATGTTTAGGAAGTGGTCTCCTGTACCAACTCGTTGAAGAATATCTCCCACTTTCTCTTCTAAAAGTTTCAGTGTGGCTGGATTTATGTTGAGATCTTTGATCCATTTGGACTTAAGTTTTGTACAAGGCGATAAACATGGATCTATCTGCAGTCTTCTGCATACCAGTACCCAGTTATGCCAGCACCATTTGTTGAAGATGCTTTCTTTTTTCCATTGTACAGTTTTAGCTTCTTTGTCAAAAATCAAGTGTTCATAGGTGTGTGGGTTAAAATTAGGGCTTTCGATTTGGTTCCATTGGTCTACCTGCCTATTTTTGTGCCAATACCAAGTTGTTTTCAGGACCATAGCTCTATAATAGAGCTTGAAGTCAGGTATGGTGATGCCTCCTGAAGTTCCTTTATTGTATAGGGTTGTTTTGGCTATCCTGGGCCTTTTGTTTTTCCATATAAAGTTGATTAATATTCTTTCCAGGTCCTTGAAGAATTGTGATGGAATTTTGATAGGGATTGCATTGAATCTGTTGACTGCTTTTGGCAAGATTGCCATTTTTATTATGTTGATCCTACCAATCCAAGAGCATGGGTGATCTTTCCATTTTCTGGTATCTTCTTTGATTTCTTTCTTTAAAGACACAAAGTTCTTTATATACAGGTCTTTAATTTCCTTGGTTAACATTATCCCCCAGATATTTGATGCTGTTTTTGGCTATTGTAAAGGGTGATGTTTCTCTGATTTCTTTCTCAGTCACTTCATCATCTGTATATAATAGGGCCACTGATTTTTTTGAGTTTACCTTGTATCCTGCCACATTGCTGAAGGCGTTTATCAGCTCTAGGAGTAACCTTGCGGAGTTTTTTGGGTCACTTATGTAAACTATCATATCATCTGCAAATAGTGTAAGTTTGACTTCTTCTTTTCCTATTTGTATCCCCTTTATCTCCTTTTGTTGTCTTATTGCTGTAGCTAGAACTTCAAGCACAATATTGAAGAGATATAGAGAGAGTGGACAGCCTTGTCTTGTTCCTGATTTTAGAGGAATTGCTTTGAGTTTCTCTCCATTTAGTTTGATGTTAGCTGTTGGTTTACTGTATATTGCTTTTATTATATTCAGATACGTTCCTGTTATCCCTGATCTCTCTAGGACCTTTATCATGAAGGGGTGCTGGATTTTGTCAAAGGCTTTTTCAGCATCTAGTGAGATGATCATGTGGTTTTTCTTTCGCAGTTTGTTAATATGGTGGATTACATTGACAGATTTTCTAATGTTGAACCATCCCTGCATTCCTGGGATGAAGCCTACTTGATCATGGTGGATGATTTTTCTGATGTGTTCTTGAATCCGGTTTGCGAGTGTTTTATTGAGTATTTTTGCATCGATGTTCATGAGGGAAATTGGTCTATAGTTCTCTTTCTTAGTTGTGTCTTTGTGTGGCTTGGGTATCAAGGTAATTGTAGCCTCGTAGAAAGAGTTTGGCAGTGAGCCTCCTGCTTCTATTGTGTGGAATACTTGGAGGAGTATTGGAATTAGCTCTTCTTTGAATTTCTGGTAGAATTCTGCACTGAAGACATCTGGGCCTGGACTTTTTTTGTTTGGGAGACTTTTGATGACTGCTTCTATTTCATTAGGGGTTATAGGTTTGTTTAGATTGTTTATCTGTTCTTGATTTAGTTTTGGCAAGTGATATCTATCCAGGAAATTGTCCACTTCCTTTAAATTTTCAAATTTTGTGGAGTACAGATTTTCAAAGTATGCCCCGATGATTCTCTGGATTTTGTCAGAGTCCATTGTTATGTCCCCTTTTTCATCCCTGATTTTGTTAATTAGCATGCTCTCTCTCTCTCTCTCTGTCTTTTGGTTTGTTTGGACAGAGGTTTGTCTATTGATTTTTCTCAAAGAACCTACTCTTTGTTTCATTGATTCTTCTCAGTGTTTTCCTGGTTTCTACTTGATTGATTTCAGCCCTCAATTTGATTATTTCCTGGCGTCTGCTCCTCCTGGGTGAGTTTGCTTCTTTTTGTTCTAGAACATTCAGCTGTGCTATTAATTCTCTAGTATGACTGTTCTCCGGTTGTTTCATGTGGGCACTTAGTGCTATAAACTTTCCTCTCAGCACTGCTTTCAAAGTGTCCCATAAGTTTGTGTATGTTGTGTCTCATTCTCATTGAAATTGAGGAAGTCTTTAATTTCTTTTTTTATTTGTTCCTTTACCCAGGGATGGTGCAATTGTGCATTGTTCAATCTCCATGAGTTTGTAGGGTTTCTGCGATTTGTGTTTTTGTTGAATTCTAATGTTAATGCATGGTGGTCTGGTAAGATGCAGGAGGCCAATTTTTTTTGTATCTGTGGAGATTTGCTATGTTTCCTATTATGTGGTCAATTTTAGAGAAGGTTCCATGTGGTGCCGAGAAGAAGGTATATCCCTTTGTATTTGGGTGGAATGTTCTATAGATGTCTGTTAAACCCAGTTGGGTCATAACTTCTATTAGTTCTTTTGTTTCTTTGTTAAGTTTCTGTCTGGAGGTCCTGTCTAGCGGTGAGCGCAGAGTGTTGAAGTCTCCTACTATTAGTGTGTGAGATTTTATGTGCATTTTGAGCTTTAGTAATGTTTCTTTCACGAATGTAGGTGCCTTTGTATTTGGGGCGTAGATGTTTAAAATTGAGACTTCATATTGATGTACTTTTCCTTTGATGAATATGAAGTGTCCTTCTTCATCTCTTTTGATTGATTTTAATTTGAAGTCTAATTTGTTAGATATTAGGATTGCTACACCAGCTTGTTTCTTGGGACCGTTTGACTGGAAGATCTTTTTCCTACCCTTTACTCTGAGATAATGTCTGTCTTTGATGTTGAGATGTGTTTCTTGTATGCAGCAGAAGGAAGGGTTTTGTCTTCGTATCCATTCTGCTAGTCTGTGTCTTTTTATAGGCAAGTTGAGGCCGTTGACATTGAGGGATATTAATGACCATTGATTGATGATTCTTGTTTGTGCTTGATTAATTGGCAGTGGAGTTATCATGTGTAGGGTCTCCTCCCTTTTTCTTTTGGTGTTTTGTAAAGTTGGATTATATATTGCCTGTGTCTTTGTGAATGAAGTTATCTTCCTTGGATCTAGGTTTTCCTTCTAGCATTTGCTGTAGAGCTGGATTCATGGATACGTATTGTTTAAATCTGGCTTTGTCATGGAATATTTTGTTTTCTCCATCTATAGTAATTGAGAGCTTTGCTGGATATAGTAGTCTGGGCTGGCATCCTTGTTCCCTTAGTGTTTGTAGGACATCTTTCCAGGATCTTCTGGCTTTCATCATTTCTATTGAGAAGTCAGGTGTAATTCAGATAGGTCTGCCTTTATATGTTACTTGGCCTTTTTCTTTAGCTGCTCTTAATATTTTCTCTTTACTCTGTAGGTTTGATGTTTTGATTATTATATGGCGAGGTAACTTCTTTTCTGGTCGAGCCTATTTGGTGTTCTGTAAGATTCTTGTATTTTCATAGGCATATCTTTAGGTTAGGGAAGTTTTCTTCTATGATTTTGTTGAATATGTTTTCTGTACCTTTGAGTTGTATTTCTTTGCCTTCTTCTATACCTATTATTCTCAGGTTTGGCTTCTTCACGGTGTCCCATATTTCCTGGATATTTTGTGTTAAGGATTTGTTGGTTTTGGGATTTTCATTGCTTGACGACTCTATATCCTCTAATGAGTCTTCAACACCTGAGATTCTCTCTTCTATCTCTTGTATTCTATTGGTGATACTTGCATCTGTAGTTCTGATCGTTTACCCAGCTTTTCTATTTCCAGCATCCCTTCATTCTGTGTTTTCTTTATCGTTTCTATTTCAGCTTTCAATCCTTCAACTGTTTGAGTTGTTTCCTTCATTTGTTTGGTTGTTTTTTCTTGGTGGTCTTTAGATTCTTTGAGAGATTTGTGTATTTCTTGAATTTTTCCCCAATTTCATGGATTTTTTGTTTGTTTTTTCTTCTATTTCTTTAAGGGATTTCCTCGTTTCTTCTTTGAGGGTCTCCATCATCTTCATGAAATAATTTTTAAGGTCTGTCTCCTCTTCTTCGTTTATGTAGTGCTTTTTGGGTCTTGCTGGTGTTGGATCCCGAGATTCTGGTGGGGTCATGTTGGTGTTTCTATTGCTGAGTGAGCTCTTATTCTGTCTTCTTCCCATGTCTTCTTCCAGTGGGTGCTGGTGGGGTCTTTCCAACTCCACTGGTCTCCTTCCTTCCTGAAGCTGAAGCTGGTGCTGCTGACACAGAGTTAGGGCCTGGAAGGGCTGACACAGACACTGAGAATGTAGCAGTTGGGAAATAAGGTGTTGGGGAGGTAACTGCTCTAACATTCTCCACCAAGCACAGGGGCACAGTAAAGTGACTCTATGCAGGACATTTGTGAGGAATCCTACGTTCCAATCCCATTTCATCTCTGGTGTGGGTGTCACCAAGCCTCCGTTTACCCTTTCCACACCACTACTGTCTACTAACAGAGCAGAGTTAGACATCAGGGGAATCTCCTAGCTGAGGGTGAGGACACTCACACAATCTTGGCGTGTGCTCTTGAGCTGGTTACAAAGGTCAGGAAAAGCTCCCGGTCTTGTAGTCACAGTAGATGACCTCACCGGTGGCATGCTTAATACCAGAAAGGTGCATGACGGGACACCCATTGCATCTTGAGAAAGCTGCTTTGGGACTACATTCTGTTTAATAAAGAACCAACATCTAACTTTTATATTTCTATGGAGAATGTAGGAAAATCACAGGATATGTGCTCTTCAGATCCCAACTGCTCTGCTTCCCTGACAACACCCCCCCACCTCCTCCTTAGATACCTGACTGGCGAGGAAAAGAAAAACAGATGATAAGGCATCATCAGGCATGTTTTCTCAGGTGCTGCAGAGGTAGATATTGATTTCTATGAAAAAAATCTTCCCAGAAAAAGTCCCGAAATCATAGTATATTAAGCTCTTAGCTTGTCCAATATTTGAGTGAAAAATTACCCATATCTTATTTTTGTTTTTTATAGAATACTCTCAGAGATTTTCTGTTTCCATCCTGAAAACAAAATTCTAGGTAAATTATAGGCTTGGACACTGAGTGAATGTGTTCACAGGGATTTATAAGGCTCCTGGAGCTTTCCATTATTAATGCTAACACCTTTTACCGTAAATAATGGAACATTTCACCACTGTGAAGAAAACCTTCTGAAACTTTGCTGTGTTAGGTCTGCCAAAGCATTTAGGAAATTCTCAAGCCTGTGACAGCCAAATGTGGAAAGTGATTTATCTAAGCACCAGCCAGCTGGAACCAACAGCAGACCAGCGCACTCAGCTGCCTCCTTCTGTTTGTTACAGGGGTAAAGACACAACAAGTAAAGTTGGAGAGTCTCTCAGTCAGGTGATCTCAAGTCACAGTGCACAGTCTGGATGCAGAATATCCAGCAAGGGCGTGGGTCTCAGCCAGCTGGTACTGGGAGACGATGGATCAGCAGGTTTTAGCCCACTGGGGAGCATACCCATCTCTTTCTTGCTTGCAGTTATGAGGTTCACAGTTTGCAATTCCCACCTTGCCATCTCTGCCTCACAACAGTAGCTGGAAAGCAAGGGTCCACCTCATCAAGGACCGCAATGCCAAACAACCCCCCTCTGCCTCTTGATGACCTTGTGCTTGTGAGGGTGATGAAAATGAACTTCAAAAGCAAGTAGGTAATTTGGAAGAAGTATTTGTTTTGAGAGGTGAATATGTTCTAGAAACTCAGATGCTTTTGTGTGTGTATGTGTGTGTGTTTGTGTGTGTGTGTGTGAGAGAGAGAGAGACAGAGAGACAGAGAGAAAGAGAGGCAGAGAGACAGAGACAGACAGAGAGACAGAGACAGAGAAATAGAGAGAGACCATGGAAAACAAAACAGTATTTATATCTATGTGGGAGACACACTGTTCCCCAAATATTGTCTCAGAACCCAGCATGACAAATCCGTTCAATATCAACCGCTGAGAATATTTTCAGTTTTCTACAGATGATCTGAATGTTCATCACTTAACTTTGGTTCCTCCCTGAAATGCAATACATTGCCAAAGGGTTATAATGGTCTCCATAAGTCACATGCTATGAGTTTGGTATTTCACAATACACTAGGAGAAAAGGTACCTGTTTTTAACCTTCAAAATGTTCAGTTCCAAAGCAGTTTGGCAGATGTAAATTTTTGAACTTATTGAACCCCAAAGCTCAAGGGACCTACAACACCTCCAGTGTTCACTGTGCCATGATGTAACTTTTTATAACAACTCTGCCAGCAGATCAGATGCACTGCAGTTTTAAAATCTCTTCCCTTTCCACACTTAAAACTCTGGGTTCAGGTTCTTGACAATAAGTTCAAGGAAATATGCATTAAATCTTATGATGTTATGGCAGAAACTTCCATTTGAAAGGTATGGGAAAGATAGACACATGGTTATAATCCAAGCATTGTGAGACAGGCCCATGAATCTCTGAGTTTGAGGCCTGCCTAGTCTGCAGAGGGAGTTTCAAGAAAATCAGTTCTACTCTTGGAAACCCTGTCTTGAAAAACAAACAAATGAACAAAGCTATGGAGAGTTCTACACTCTCTAGTAATTAGCCTTCATCAGGAAATCTGGAAAACAGTTCTTAGTACACTTGTTTGCTTTCACAATAAAATGTAATCTGAAGAAAACCACATAGGCAGGAAGGACTTAGAAAGGAAAGTATCCCAATACAGGGACAAAACAAACTACCAGCTGTTGCAATATGTAGCACTGTGGTTCCATGATCTCTAGGGGTAGAGGTGTGCAATTCTCGTCTGAAATGACAAGGTCCATCTCATAACTAGCCTTTGATTTGGTTCTCAAGCCACAATGCCAGGGTAGGCTGCATGGAGCAACAGCCAGCTTGTTTATGTCCATGGGCTGAAGCCATACTAAATCAAACAAATAAACAAAAACAAAAAACAAAAAAGACTTTAAGACAAAACCAGACATTTTTCTTTAATATTTTCCAGGATTCTTTTTAATAGGGGATTTCGAGGGATCAAACTCAGGGCCTTGGCCATTATCTACCACTGAACTGCACACTCTCAATCTAGTTTCGATGTTTTAATGAACACTGGAAGGCAACTTGTCTCCAGGAGGCAAAGGCCCTGCCGTCCTGTCTTTGATTTGTTTGTCTGTTTGGTCATTTGATTTTCAAGACAGGATTTCTCTGTGTAACAGCCCTGGCATTCCTGGAACTCACTTTGTAGACCAGGCTGGCCTTGAACTCACAAAGATCACCTGCCTCTACCTCCCAAGTACTGGAATTAAAGGCGTGTGCCACCACTGCTCTGCCCCTTTGATTTTAAACACACACACTCGAATACACACAGGAACACACACAAACACATTCGTGCACACACACACATACACGCACACACACATACATACACTAGAATATACACACATAGGAACACCACAAACACACACACACACAGGAACACACACACACACTAACCTGGTGGGTTAATGTTCTCCAATAATGTTTTGAATGTAGATCTTCTAAAGCACTCTCATACCTGTCTGCCAGACTAGGATATCGCCCTGGGTCTTGCAGAGGATAATGAGAGTAGACATTTAAAATCTTCCAGAATGCTCTAGGGGAGGAAGCTGGTACACTTCCCAGCAAGCATCTCTATTCTGAAGTCTGGAGTTGTTTCAGCATTTACCTTTTCAGAGTCCTGGAAAACTAATGATCACCTGAGCGTAGACAGGAACCTGCAGATACATATCTGCCTACATGATGTGATAAACCACATGCAATCAGAATATCAATGACTGCCACCATCTGTGTTTCAGAAGACTATTTTCCAATCACTAGCAATTTTCCAACTTTCCAAATACTATTTTCTCAACCTTGTCCACATAGACAGACCTTCTTTCCTAAGTGTCTAGGGCAAGGGTCATATACACCAATGCGACAATGAAAGAAGTCAAATAAAACGGAAAAGACAAAACTCAAAGCAGGAAAAGTCAGAACCAATGCCTATTACTGCAAATGTCCCCAAAGTTGCTTGGTTGCATCTGCCAAGCACAGAGAAGAGCAGAGGTGGCACAGTCTCTGTCACCCCATAGGAGGATGACTTCTGAGAGCAGAACAGCAGGTCAAGCGCTGTGACACCTCCAGGTAGAACTTGAAGAGGAAGCTGATGATGGGGGTCCTCTTGAACTCCACCTTCCCCCCAGGAGCAGAGCCTGGAAAGGTGACTTCATTCAAAAGCAGCCTGCATGCTGTATCCAGCATCTCTTCATTCCAGGGCCTGTGAGAGGCAGAGGAGGAGACTCACAGGCAGGACTCATTACCTCACAGGTTCAGCTGACAGATGAGGCAGCCAACTGCAGTCTTCACAGGAGCAGGAGAGTAGGGTCTGCAGACTGGCAACTAAATTCGGGCTGGTCGACCACTCTCCAAGCATCTGGACTGGGTCTCACCAGACCTTCACCCATCAGAATTCCTGAGCTCAGGAGTCACTCACTGCCTCATCTACTCCTAGGACATTTCTGTATGGCAGCACCCATGTAAGCACTGTGTGTGTTCACTTACAGAACCCTCACAGGGACTCACAAGGTAGGTTTGAGTCTCTTCTTTGACAGCTAAGGAAACAGAGTTTCCACAGTGTTAAATAGAATGCCTGGGCTCATGGGGTTAAGGAGACTGAAGTAAGACATGCACGAGGCTCTCTGGCCCATTAAAGGCTTAAGACACATGTGCTGAGTCACTCCTCTCTGTTCGTTTGTCTAGTAAGTTCCCAAGAAATATTAGCTATTATCACCACAGATAAATCAACTCGGGTAAGCCAGAGATGGTTAGAAACCAATTAGCACATGATCTGTTTTTCATCAGAGTAAATTAATCCCTCACAAAATAATGCAAATTTATACTACAGGAAATGAGCATCTGACCCCTGTTCTGTTTCTGTCTCTCACATACACATATACACATGTACACACACAAGACATACATACACATGCACACAAAGAAACTTGTGTGCTTACACACACATATTATACAAAGATCACTTGTGAATTTCTTAAAAAGCAACATGAAATTGATTATATAATCTTGTTGGGGTTCCTGCCATCAAACTGTGAGATCCTAAGTCTTTTTCTTCTTTTTTTTTTTCTTTTTTTTTCTTTTTTTTCTTATTAATATTTTTTATTTTCCATTTTAAATTTAGATAAGAAACAAGGTTGCTTCACAAGTCAGTACGAGGTCCCTCTCCCTTTCCCTCCCCTCCTCCCGTGCCCTCCCCGCATCCCCCCCCCCCCCCCGTTATCCCCTCATTCCCCCAGGGAGGGTGAGGCCCTCCATGGGGGTGTCCATAGTCTGTCATTTCATATAGGGCAGGGCCTAGACCCTTTCCCAAGAGTTCAGGGTGAGAGTGCACCTCACATTGTTCTATGGGAGTCCAAAGTCCGTGTGTATACTTGGTATGGGTAGTGATCTGCTGCCCAAGGCTCAATAGATTACCTAGGCCTCCTCACTGACACCCAGATTCAGGGGGTCTTGATCAGTCCCATGCTGGATTCCCAGGCTGATGCCTGGGATTCTAGAGTTAACCTTTGTCTGGTCAGCTGTTTCTGGGGGTTAAACCAGCCCAGTCTTAATCCCTTTCATCATCAGTCCTCCCTCTCTGATACTGGCTTTCTTGAGTTCAGCTCAGTACTTAACCAGCCACTAAATGTAGTTTCTGTTTCCCAGACTCTCTGGCCATAGGATTGTAGGCTGGCACTCCCCAGATCTATGTCTAAAATCCATATATGAGAGAGTACATGCCATGTTTCTCTTTTTGTGACTGGGTTACCTCACTCAGGATGGTTTCTTCTAGTGTCATCCATTTGCCTGCGAATCTCATGATTCCGTTATTTTTTTCTGCTGAATAGTACTCCATTGTGTAGATGTACCACATTTTCTCTATCCACTCTTCGGGTGAGGGACATCTAGATTGCTTCCAAGTTCTGGCTATTACAAATAAAGCTGCTATGAACATAGTGGAACAGACATCTTTGTTATATGAATGGGCATCTTTTGGATATATGCCTAAGAGTGCAGTTGCTGGGTCTTGTGGTAGGTTTATTCCCATTTTTCTGAGGAATCTCCATACTGCTTTCCAAAGTGGCTGAACCAGTTGGCACTCCCACCAGCAATGGAGGAGTGTCCCCCTTTCGCCACACCCTCTCCAGCATAAATTGTCATTGGTGTTTTTGATTTTAGCCATTCTGACAGGAGTGAGATGGTATCTCAGAGTTGCTTTGATTTGCATTTCCCAAACTTGAGAAAAGATTCTACTGGCATGTGTGTGTGTGTGTGTGTGTGTGTGTGTGTGTGTCCGTCCTCTGACAACATCTTACAACGTTTCTCCCAGCCTAGCCCTCCTCCCTCCTTTGCCGTATATCCTTGCTTACAGACAACAGCACCCAGAGATTCACGAAGAACAGGCACCTTAGCATCCTCTTACCAATAGCCTAGGGCTTTCCATCAGACACCAGATATTAATATCCCTTTTGATACCTGATCAAGTTAATGCTTAACCATTCCAGTTTTGGTCTATAACCAGGAAACCTATTATCTCCAGTGGTAAATAAAAAAAATCCCTTCAGTGAATTTAGCACCACTGAGTGCTATTTTATTTGGGTATGTCCACCCATGCCAACATGTAAACAATTTCAGTCCTTTAATCAATGGAATGGAGGTAGGAACAGTTTAAAGCCACAGGAAAATATAATAATGAAAAAACATAAAAAGATTTTTGTGTTCATATTCTCTCATCCAGCCTTACTTCTCATGACAGGAGTTCTTTCAAAGGTGTTTTACTAACTGAAACTCAGAATTTAGATCTTTCTCCTTAAGTCTACTTTGAAGTTTAAATGCTAGGAGCCGATGATTCATGATGTATGTAACAGAAAGCTAGCTCACAGTTTAAATGAAACCTCCATATATTTGTAGAAAAGCAATTATAAAATTTCCTAAAAGTATTAGAAAAATTGGAATAAGAGAATATTCTTGCCCTGAATTTCAAACATAATAGTCAACTACATAATTTCAGCATGATGTCAAATAAATATTGAGTTTAAAATATTGGTGAACATTCAATGAAGATAAACAGAATAGAAACCCAAAGCATGGATGAATTGGGAGTCAAACACACATGTGCCAGGGAGAGTGTCCCCAACAAAGGGGCTCAGTGGCTCTCAGAGTTTATTGTTTTTTGCCAATGATCAGCTCACGTCTGGACATTAACCAACACATGTCCATGTAGGTGGGAAAAACACTTAACACAATCCCAGGACAGGTATAAATGTGGGAAAACACATTTGTAAGGACAGCAGTAGGTCTCCAGGTGCAATAGTTTGGCCCCTGATAGATCAAGGTCTCAAGAAGAAACAGATGGAGAGACTGGTAGATAGTTTTAAGACAGACTGATGAACTTCCCAGACTTAGAAAGGAAAGGAAATTAGTAATGTTTTAGTAAACAGTCCTTTTCCAGACTGGATTTCCTGCCTCCCCAGAAGTGAGAGAAATAAATGAAGCTTAATAAATCCCCAAGCTGAAACTGCTGTTTACCTGTGGACAGCAAGTGGAGGGTGCAGTTCCCCACAGCCAGGATGGGATTCAGATCCGAGTCCAGATGTCTGCTCACAATGTGGCCCCCTAAAGACTTTAAAAAGCAGGTATTTCACACTGTTACACAGTTACAAAGCACAAGCATGAAATACCCAGATACCCAGTGAGTGATGGGGGATGGGGGGAACTGGGGAAGGGACAGACACGACTCTTCTTTTGTGTGGTTAAAGAACAGAAAGGAGCCATCAGTTACGGTCACCAGAGACCACAATGCCCAAGCTGACTTCCAAATACATACAGCCATGCTCCTGATCTGGGAGCCAGCCAGAGTTCTCAGGTGCTTCAGGAGGGCACGGTACGTCTGTGTCTTCTCTCCTTGGAGCTTCCAGACCACAGCAGCCAGAATGTCCTTCACCTGATCCAGGATGAGGCCAGCACCTAGGGTCAGTCCTGAAATAAAGTCTGTGTAAGTAATGCCGTATGATCACAAATAGCCTTGCAATGCTAGACCAAAGAGACAGGCATGGGAATCTTTATATTGGATCCATGACGTTGTGATCTTGAGTGAGGTGGTGATGGTGGTGTGACTGTGGTAGTGATGATGATCATGGCAGAGACACCGATGGTGATGGAAGTGGGTGTGGTGGTGGCTGTGATGTGTGGGAGGGTTAGTTAAGGTGTTATTGGCGGTCATGGAGGTTAACTTTCATGTCTACTAAGTTTATCTCATATTACAGTAGCATAAAAAAAACCTCCACATATTAAAACTAACCACAGGATATTAATAGGCTCAGTTCACAGATGGCTACCCTGAGGCTCCGTTCAGTCATGTCCCAAGATCTCAGAGATACTATACATCATCACCAAGAAGTGAATTTTGTAACTTTATCCCAAACACACACTACGATGACTGTGGCTTCTCACTGCCATTACACCAAATTCCTTTCCTAGGAATGAAAAAGGCCAGACTGCAGTTGCTTAACACCCAACTCTCCTCCATTTGCTGTGCTATGGAGAGCAGCCAGCCTGTCTCATTCATCTTCATCTTCTGTTCTGCACACATGGCACAGATCCTCCGAGAATACTTGTTCATTCCCTGATACTGCAGATAGGAAAGTTTCCCAGTGACAATTGAACTTCTCAAACTATGTCTAGTGGAACTTAGAGAATTCCCCCCTGGACTCCCACCAGGTCCTCACTCTGCCTGAAGAGAATCTGAATTCTAACTAGAAACATCTCTCCCCTGACTGGCTGCTGGATTAAGCAGGTGACCTGATGAGTGCATTTCCAGGGAAACAAAGACCAGAAGAACTCACTGCCATGGTCCTGGCTTACAACACACAGCTCTTCAATTCTGTCAGGAGAAATTATGATGGGGTGGAAGACCCCTTTAAACTTTACTGCAGGCCCTAAGGGATTGTGGAAGAGACACAAGATTAGAATACAAGGATGTTAACTACTGTCCTACCTTGGAATTATGATCAAACCCATGTCTCTGGGCATCTGAAAGTTGTTTCCTTTTATCGGGATGTTTATTACAAACAACAAGCAGAGGCAGAGGCAGATTAGACTTTGGAAATGGCAGCCCTAAAACTTGTGTGACATGGCACACTTAACTTGGAGAAGGTGTTAGAGGCCATGCAAAGAGATGGGCAGCCATACTAGGACTTTGTGGGAAACGAGAAGACTCTGAAACTGCCTTTTAAGTAAAAACATATTACACTCACAGAGACCCCACCCAGACAGGAGAGAAGGAGCAGTTTCAGGAAGAGATCCAGTGTGGTCCCTAGATAGAAAGCCAGAAGACTGCCACCATGCTGCCGGCTTACCATGGGGCCACCCTCTGCTACAGTAGGGCAGGCAATTTTCTATTGCTGTAACATCTCTTGAACAATACTGTGTTTTCTACCTGTTCTCCTGACAAGAAACCGACATGAAGCTTGTTTCCCTCATGAGCTGTCCCAGGGTGTCTACATACCCACAGAGGTGTTGGCCATGACAATGGGGCCCTGGGAATACTTGAATTTAAGTTCCATGAGTTCCTTTGGTGTCACTGGGGAAATCCATGTCACTCTATCACCATGAAACTCTCTGGTCCTGAGAGGCTGCTTCTCAGCCATTATTATGGAAAACACAACAGGGATTTGAGAGAGCTTCAACAAAATTCTAATCTCTTTTCACTCTATTTTTATTAAAACAGAGGAAAGAAATATACATCTTCTAAAAGCTAAATTTTGTGACCTAGAAGTAGAGCTTAACCAGGAGCCAGAGTTGAAAGTTAAAGTCTGGCTGTAGTTTACTCCTGGAAACGCATGCTCCCATTGGCTCTCAAATACCTCACAGTAACTCATTCTGGTGTTCACTAACATAACAATCTACGCATTTTGCCAAATCATTTGCACACTGACATGTCCCTGAGGAGGTCTGACAGCCACACCATCAGCTTTGGAAAAGGCTGCTCCTGCCATTTGACAGTGAGCTCCTCTAGGTGAGCAGCTGTCTTCCTTACCATCGGCTCTGGGGGACACATCAGCTCCTGGGTTGGGTCCAGTGGCAGAAACTCCACTTCTGAGAAGAGTTCAGGACTAGTCTTTAAAAAGAGAAAATGACAGAAGTTACAGTAGTGCCCCCTAAACTCAGGGGACATTGATGCCTGTTGGATTCTATTAGTTATTCTGAAATAGTCAACTGATTGTCAAACGCAGTCACACCACTGTGCTACAGGACAATTAGAAGGCACACCTCTCACCCAGCTGTACCACAGTGCCTGGTCACCCTCCTTTCTCCACCCCAATTTCCTCCTGGCCTGAATTTGTAGAACATATAGAGACAGTGAGAATGGGAGAGGGAACATGTTGACACAGTCAAAGTCATCAACTCGGGCAGCCACTGATTCTTCCAAACACTAGGTCGCTGGCTGCTCCTGTATTGAACAACTTCATAACAACTTTACCATTCACTGACCTCATCACCTTCTGGTAATTCTGCCAATCCATTTACTCCTTGATTTAAACAGCACACCCCATTTTCTCTACTTTGACAGCACCCAGAAGCCTAATGGAGAAAAACAAAGCAAGCCCATCAGAATTCAATGGGGACTCTGTTGTTACCTGGGTGCCTACAGTTGAAGAAGTAGAACCAATATCATAAGGCGTTGTAAAAGAAAAGCACTTATACTTCCGCATACCCAAGCTAACTATAATGAAAGCAAGTTTACAAAAATTCTGAATACCAGTGATTATTTAGTAAACCTCACAAAGTTCTTACTAGGTAATCCTGTCATATAGCAATAAACATTAACCATGTTAATTATTGATACTAACAATATTTTAAATACCAGTAATAGTATAAGAAGAATTGACACCTTGCTCTGATCTTATCTATGAGGTATTGATTCCATAGTTCACATTTCAGAAGTGGTCGTCTGGTGGTGGGGGAGGACCCACGATGACTGAATGTGTATTAAAATTCCACAGAGCCTTTTCCTATATGTAAGCATTTAAAAACAAAGAAAAACCCACATATTTTATAAGTTTCAGTTACTTATATTAATATTAATGACTGAGTAGATTTACAATTAGAATATGCTACAACTGTCCTGGGGACAGACAGTCTCCATTATCAAATAGTCAGTCCATTAAAAACATTCAGTGGTACAGGGACAACTAGACCATACTGTGACCAGTGTTATGCTGTATCAATCACAGACACATATGGTGTTTTCAGGAGACTATGGGCACCCAGGCAGGGTCCTTAACTTAGGCAAACAGGTCAAGAACAAGTTCTTGGAAGGAATGACTTATATCCAATGACAAACTGATGCTCACAGTTTGACTACCCAGTCAGGGAAAGTCAGCCTCCTGTGCAAGATGAAATGAGAGACAGGAATTGTAGACCTTGAAATGAGAAGTGAAGGACCACTACTACAGGATATTAGTAAAAATGAGCACTGCTACGAATACAATCAGCCACTCCTGCACCTTTTTGCTTTATTTGGGGGAAAATGCTCTTGACCATGCATTCCTTTCTACTTACTTTACAGAAAGTCTTGCATGTGTCGATTATGGGCCTGTATCCAGTGCAGCGGCACAGATTTCCTAAGAAGACAGAGCAAGTCCTGTTACTCAAGTGCCCGGACAGAGGCATGGAGCACCAAGTGAATGACAGCATGACCCCATCTTAGAAGAAAACTCCCTTTAATGTCTTAATGCTGAAATTCTGGCTTTGAAATTTCATTTTTACATCAGCATCTTGGGATATCTAGTCAGGAGTCCTGCGGTATATTTTAACATCTCAGCCATCTGTACTTATTCTCTATAAACATGTTTCATGCCCTCCTTTTGAGACAGATGATTAAATGACACAATTTAAAGACAAAACTTGTTCTGCAGCTACAATCAAGAGCTCAACTTAAAACAATGGCCACATTATTGAGATGCTACTGACATAAAATCACATGCATGTCTAATCAACTGATCAGTGGTTGATGTATCTGGAGATAGTGTGCACAGGAGGACCCATCTCCAACATCAATAACGTGAGTGGACCTGTCACTCTGTGTCCTTGTGTCATTTATGTCCTTGATCTACATCCTGAAAGAAGGCGTTTCACAGAAGACCTACCCTCTCAGCAACGGTTTATACAAAGCAGTGTGGATAGATGTGGAAACCAAGTTGAATCTATTGAACTTGTTCATTTTGCATAACAAAATTTGTAACCTTTTATTGACAGTATTTCATTTTCTCATTCTCCAAACTCAGATCATCAATATTGTATCACCATTTTATTCCCTGCTTCTACTGTACAATTTCAGGCCATTTGTATAATACAGTGCTTGCTCTTCTGGGTCTGGCTTATTTTTCTTAGCATTGTGTGCTATAATCGATGCATGTTGTTACAAGGGAGAAGGCTTTTCTTTTTGTTTTTTTTTAAGGAAGAATCCTCTCATTATTAATACTTACTGTGGCAACTTTCAGAGGCAAAGCAAAGACAAAAGAAGAGAGAGACAGAGAGGGAAGTTTCAACTGATCTGAGCAGTTCTGTAACAGTAAAGTTGGAAAAGTGGGTTGCTTTTTACCCTGGGAGGCAATTATGCGCACACATTATTAAAATGATTTTGCCAGTGTTTCTCTCACAATGGTTCTGTGTCCTTACTCTACCCCACTATGAGGTCATGTTTGATTTGTGTATGTTCTGTGTACATATCTGTTGGTGTGTGTGCAAGTGTGTGTGAGTACATGTGGATGACAGAGGTAGACACTGGGGTCTTGCTCAGTTGATCTCCACATCCTTTTGAGACAGAGTCCCTCAGTGAACCTAGAACTCATCAGTTGTACTAGATTGGTTGGAAAATGAGCTCTAGGGGTCCTCCTCATTCTGCATCCTCCTGCAGGTATAGTGGTTACACACCATCACTCCCAGACTTCCTTGTGAACAGTAGTGATCAAGACTCAGTCCTCATGCCAGACACTGACTGAGACAGTTTCCCAAGCTCATGAGGCTTATTTTAGAAGCAGCGCTAGATCAAGTTCTCTGGGGACAGGTTTCCTCAAATCTTCATTATTTGTACATTTTCTACATGTCTTTATTTTTCTTGTTTTTTTGTTTTGTTTGGTTTTGTTTTTCAAGACAGGGTTTCTCCGTGTATTTCTGGCCATCCTGGAACTCACTTTGTAGATCAGGTTAGCCTTGATCTCACAGAGATCCACCAGCTCCTGCTTCCAGAGTGCTGGGATTAAAAGCTTGCACCATTATTGCCTGGCTCCTACATGTCTTAAGCATCCTAAAGAGCCATAAAGCAACAATGTGTTCTCCAGGAAATCAGACATGATCCAGTTTAGGTGCTAGGCCAGGTTCTCCACATGTGTTCACTCTGAGTGTTCCTGGAACACTTTGTAGAGGAAGTAAACATGCAAGCTTTAGACTCATGTTTCCTGAGCAGAGAAATAAGAGGTGGGAGACAAAGATGAATAGATCCAGAAAGCATTCACTAGGCAGAGAGAATCTGAGAAGCTATTAACTCTTAAAATGTGCTCAGAATCTTCTTGATGAACACACACAAGTGTGCGTGTGAGCAACACATGCACGTGTGTGCTTGTGCGAGAGAGGGATGTCATCAATATAAGCATCACTAGCAGATTTCAGTCCAACTACAGCTATACTCAGTGACACCCCTCTGACCAGTGCTCTGTGGTGGTGAGCAAATCTGTCACAGAACCTAGACGCTGCTTTTGCTAAAGAAATTTTTGTTGACTCCTCCCTTGGGCCTACATGAATGATAGTAACTAAACTCCACATGACACCAGCCACCTCTGCTTTCATTTCAAATGTAACCAGCTCACATTTCAGTTAGAGTCCTGGTTGACTTTGTGTGAAGGCCTGAAATGGTTTAGACTCTTATCCAAAGCCACTATTCCTCTCTCTTCAAGGCAGAGCATACAGGGATAACTAAGGTGTCCTTAAGAGTTACAGGGACAGTTCCAAATATCCTGTCCAAACACCATGGAATGGTACCCAGAAGCCTTCTGTTATGTTTCTACAACTCCCAAGAACAGCAGAGCCCTGCAGACAGACTACCTAGGATGAGCCTGCACGATTAAGTATCAACCATCTCCTGAGTCTGAATCCCGGGGTCACAGCCTTGACAGAAAACCTCCTGTGACATCATTGGAGATGACCCCAGAACAACAGCAACTTCCTTGACACCACAAGGAGCGCAACACCGAGGCTCAGCTGTGCAGCCCCTGCCTCTTGCTCATGAGCTACACCCTCTGTTTAAACCAAGGCTCTCTTGTCAGTGTCCCGGTAGACAGGGACATGAGACTTTCAACCTCCCTCTTCTCCCAGTATAATCCCACTGAAAATATAATTCCTTTCCTCTTCACTTTTCCAATTGATCTCCAGGATGAGCGCTGGGACCTGATTTGCTGGGGGTTTCCCAGAGTCAGGCCTGTTGCCTAGTATTCCCCTAACACACTCAGCAAAGAGAAAACAGTGGTTAAAGTGCAGCACTCAGACATGACCTGTCTTTCCCAGGGTGGGTGAATAACCCAGCCTTCTGATGGTTGTAGAAAACAAGTAAACAGTATGGAAAGAAAGAAAGAGCCTCAAGCAACCCATCCCTCAAACACATTGTGGAGATCCTGTTTGCAGACTGACTTTGAGAAACCAATGCTTCTGCATACAGGAGGGATAATTTCTAATAACCCTCCCCCTAAATCTCAGCTGTTCCATTTAGGAAATAAGATGATAATGGTAACTGTTTTATAAATGTATTTAAATGAATTTCCAAATGGCATTTATTTCAGCACGTGATATGGTAGACCAGTTATTTCTTTCATCACAACTTAAAAATAAGAGCAAACTCACCACCAAGGGCTTCTGTAAGCTGATCGAGCGTGTGCTCTGGGTGGTTCCTGAGCAGTACATACATGGACATCACCATCCCAGGAGTACAGAATCCACACTGTGTGCCATGACACTGGGCAATCCTCTCCTGGAAGCACAGGGTTAGAAATGCAAATCTGGCACTCTCTTCCAAGTCAACAAAATCAGAGCAACGTCCCCAGGACATTCTTGTGCTCACTGTAATTGGAGAGAAGGCCCCAAAAGCCCACATCTCAGGTGGTTTTCATTGGGTGGCCAGTCTGATTGTTGATCCTCATAAGCTGCTTGGCTTGACTTCAGGCAGTGAGAGTGAGTGACTCTGAGGATTTGAATGGCCACGGAGTTTATTAACCCCACTGCAGCAACACAGTAAGTCAACAGACTTTTAGATCGTTGGGGCGAGGTAAAATTTTATATCACGTATGTCTTTTAAAGGCTCTTCAGCATGCAATGAGGGTGTAAACCACTGCAGTAGAGGAAATCCTTGAAAGAAATAACCAAATTATATTCAAGTTGGAAAACATGAAAAACGCTTGCCACAGCACACACTTGGGCATGAACATGGCCACACATTCACCTATATTTCTATCTATCTATCTATCTATCTATCTATCTATCTATCTATCTATCTGTCTGTCTCTTGAGTGTTTTGGTCTTCCAACAGATGTTTTAATGCTCTAACATGTAAGAGTTTGAAAAGCATTAGAACCCAGGATCCAATGAAGAAATAAATGCTGTATTTCCTCCATAACTTTTCCATCCCCAGGATTTTTACTTTGGGTCTGATTTTAAAGTGACAAGGACATTCTGGGGCTGTCTCCCAAAGCATGGTATGGCACTGTCTCATAGAGCATTGCACCAATGAGAGCTCACTGTGAGAGTAAAACCTAAAGGGTCCCTTTGCGTGCAGGAAGTCAAGTCTCACTGCTGCGCAGGCAGCATCCTCCTCCTTTAGCTTAATGGCGTTTGAGAACATTAAACCCAAGATTTTGTCACATTTACAGAAGGTGAATTTTGGCTGTTTTCTATGTGGCTCCTACCTCTTCCCTCTCGTGTCCTCTCCACACCCATGGCCCTCAATAACTGTATCCAGACAAGGAGCAATGGCATATTGGGGGTGGGGTCTCATGTACACTGATGTAACTGGTCTAGGTCTGAGCAACAGCCCTCAGCAAGGCGCCTTCTAAGTAAAACTGCAGCCCCACAGACAGAGTCTGTTCTCTGTCAAGTCCAACCCAACACATCTTTTGGTATGGAGGGGGGCTGATACTATACATTTGGGCTTTAAATCAAGTAATTTTTCACTTTCCAACAACAACAAATCAAAAATTGTATGCATCAATGTGCATGGTTTCCTTCTTATCTGGAAGACACAAGATAGAGAGGTCCCTCTGATTGGAAAACAGAGGAAACAAACCTGACTAAGTCAGCTTGGCTGGGAGAAAGGGGAGTCTTCTAGTCTTCCAGAAGCACCTTCCCAAGAAGTCAGTTACTCCTATGTCCCAGCATCCCAGCTTCAGTCTCAGCTCCAGAGCCTTTCAGCTGCTATCAGTGACCACATAGCAGGGCCCAGACTTGCTACTCTCTGAGTCTTTGGAACTCAGAATCCCTTTGGGGAGCAGCGCACCCTCACCTGAACAAGGTGAAGTCTGGTTGTGGTGCTGCCTATGCCTTCTACCTTGGTGACAGCTCTACCATACAGAGAGCAGAAGGGGGTCAGACAGGCATTGGCCAGATGATGCCTTAAGAATGCAAAAGAGAAGCACAGGTGACAAATTTCATGACATCCAGTGGAAACTGGCCTGAGTACCCCTGGGCAACTCCCGTAGGCGGGTCAGGAGTGATGTCCCAGGCTCTGAATCTGTGTTTCATTCTCAGCACAAACTCATTTTTCAGAACCAGATCTGAGAATCAGAATGATATATTCAGGGTCACAGCTGGAGTGCTGGTGACAGAATTAAAATTATACCTCATAATTCCAATTCCTAAAAGAATCAACCAACCTAATCATTTCCCATTCAGATGGGCTGACCCTCTCTAATTGCATGTAACTGGTGAGAGCCTGAAGCTGCTTTCACCCTGCTGGTGGAGATGGGGCAAGGCTGGTTGGGCAATAAAGTGAGTGTGGTGTTGCTTGCTCTTAAAGGGAAGAACTAGTGTCAGCTGAAGAGTTATTCCACACTCAGGACCATGGCCCAAATCACCCAATTCCAACAACACCTAAAGTGCTCTCACGTCCTATCCACAACCACAGACGGGGTGGACACAAGAGGAAAGTCTTCCCTGCCCATTGTGATCAGCAAAGGTTTGAACTAAACATAGAGAACACCATTTCATCAAATGAAATTACAGATGTTCTCAAACATTAGAATGTCTATTACTAATCAAGGCTTGGGGAAATGGCATTCCTGCCATTCATGAGTGTAAACACACTCTCTGAGTTCTTCTGGGAGACAGTGCATTTGGAAGACAAACAATAACTTTAAAATGCACATGCTCTTTAATTCTGTATGCACACCTCTGTGTAAGTGTCATAAGTAGATGGTCATGGATGTAAACATTTTCTATAAGAAGCTTTACTGATAAATACTTAAAAAGAATTCCCTATTGTGGTTTTGTCTTGCTGCTTCAAAATAATATAACACACAAAGCCGTTAAATTCATACTTAAAAGGGATTCATTAAAATTTAAGAAAAAAGTGCATGTTTCAGCAATATGTGAACTTTTCTTTCATATGACAAGAACAACAGAGTGAAAAGATATCACTTGCTGATAAGTAAATCTAAAAACTGGGTGACTAACTATGTGCCAGGCAGAGCTGCAGGTGTTGGAATTCACCAATGAACAGAGACAGATCAATCCCAGCAGAGTGTGCGTTCTAGTTGAGGAACATAGACAACTCTCCAGTGCATTTAGTCAGTGCACTTAGTCAGTGAATAAATGAATGGGTCAGAAGAGAATGAATGAATGGAGGGGACTGGGGATAAATAAATGGAGGTGAAGAATGAATGAATGAAGGGGACTGTGAATAAGTAAATGGGGGAGAAGAGAATGAATGAATGGAGGGGAAGAAAATGAATGAATAGAGGTGAAGAGAATGAATGAGTGGAGGTGAATGTGAATAAATGAATGCAGGGGAAGAGCGTTGTCTGTGTAAGTACTCAGGGAGGAGTGAGCATATTAAGGCTTCTGCTGGAATCTGTGTGATTTGAAGGAGGTCAGCATGAAAGGCAAATGGACAGCATATGAGTTGAGCTCAGACATCTACAAAGAGAAGGAGACAGAGGGAAAGACAGTGAGGATGACGCACAGAGAAACTGTGAGAATGAAGCCACTCAAGGCGTGCGCCACGCAGATCCCAGGGAGCAAGTGGCAGGGCTTCCTAGTGAAGGTGAGTTCAAACACTGGGCTAAATGTGCCCAACCACAGAGTTTAGCAGTAACAACCTGTAAGACTGCCTTGCCTTAAAACCAGACTAAGGCAGAAAAATCTATAAAAGCATATTTTAAAATGCATCTCCTCGGAAGCTGTTGAGAGTTGATGGCTGCTGGGGAAGGCGAGTCAGCTTTCTTTAGGGTGTGGCATGTGGAGGTCAAACATGGTCCAGTGGATGCCACACCCATGAGGACGTGAGTTGTACAAACTGGATTCAGTGGGTTATAAAGAAAAAGACAGGACTTGGGAGTGGGGTGCTGCAGAAGGAATTGGAGGGAGAAGAAGGGGAAATATGATGAAAATAAAATGTATACATGCATGAATTTCTGAAAATTAAAACATTTTATATGCACATATATTTAACATGTATATATTAAAATTTTATTTATATAAATCAGGTATATATATACATACATATCATATGGAGTACATGAGTAACTTTAAAACACTATATTCTATTAAGTGTCCATTCTTAATAAGAGAGAGGATATATGAACAGATGTCCTCATCCCTAAGATTCAGTTGCTGTGTTTCTGAAATGTAAGGAAAATGAAGAATCTGCCTTACGTTAGACTAAGCAGAAACCAGAGTGTCTGTCAGCAAACCATTAATGGTCATTGTGGGAGGGTACAATGGCTTAAACCGCAAAGCTGGACTCTTCCCAGCAGTGCACACTGGATGCTTGGCAGCAGGGGAAGTGGCTCACAGCGGGGGTGAGGAATGAGCTGAGGGAGATTACTACCCAGGCCCAGAAACCAAGAAGCTCATGATAGAAAATGCTAAGCTTACCTTGAGTATAATGTCATCATTACACTTTAGGGGCCAAGAATAAGGCAGCATGGTGGTCAAAGTTCTCCTGAAGCACAGACAGAAAGAGAGGAGCCCAAAGAGAACTTTAGTGTCCTAAAGAGCTGGCAGTCAGGCTAGAAAGCAGGGAGATTTCCCAGGGAATGCAGGCATGGGACAGCCTTGGCAGCTGCTCAGGTCCTGAACCTCATCTGGAATTGGGGAATGAGGAAAGTGGTTTAACAAATGCATAAGTGGAGTCCCAGAAGAGGAGGGGAGAGAGACCGGACAGATAAATGTGTGAAACCATAGTGCATTGAAGGTAAATACAGAAGGTAAACAAAATAGGAAAGCACATGTAGTGTTAGGTAGGAGAGTGAAGCCATCTAACTGTCTCTTGACGCAGAGCTCTCAGGCTCAGGGATGGAGAATTCACGCGTGGGAGCCAGGAGACTGTCCTCAGTGCTTAGCACAGGTCTTTCTACACAGTAGTTCTCCATACACATTCACCCCGTGAAGAAGACGAGGTTGAGAACTGAAGATTCATTCAGAGCTGGACTTTGCTGTGAGGTACCTGATCGTCTTGGTGCTGGGGTTGTATCGCGAGACCATCACAGTGCAGGCACCACAACCTCTCCCTCCACAGCCATACTTAGTGCCTGTGAGTCGGACTGGAAGAAGCTGAATTAAAGATACTGTGTACTATGGTTTCTTTCTAGAACAGTCCTTACTTAGGACGCGGCATCATCACAGACACGCACAGGAAAGTTCAGTGTGGATTCTCCAACGGCTGCTACCTAAGTCTCGCGGTTTCCTGCTTCCTTTTGTGCGTTCCAGTTTGTGCCAGCCTCTGTATGAAGCTGGAACACTGGCTGCCAAAAGTAGGACCAGACTGAAGAAGGGTCTATGCATGGAAGTGTTTGAAAATTTGCAGGTGCGAGTGCTCTGTATATCTGCCCTCATCATTATGGAGCTCTCTGACGAAATGTACAAAATGCTATATTATAAATACTAGATGAACCATCTGTGTCACACTAGAAACACAGGAAGTCATTTGTCTGCATCTTGTCAGAGACACCTCTGACTGCTCCCTCAAATCTCTTCTCTCATTATCATCATCATTATTTTTATATCTCTGTTACTATTGTTATTATTGTTTTTTGAAACAGGGTTTTTCGATGTAACAACTCTGGCTGTCCTGGTTCTCATACCATAGAGTAGGCTAGTCTTGAACTCACAGAGATCTGCCTGCCTCTATGTCCCAAGTCCTGGGATTAAAGGTGAGTGTCAAAGGTGAGTGTCACCATCATGTACTTCCCATTTTTCATTTACTTTTGGAAGTTTGATGTTTATTTTTTCTCTCATGGCATAAATATCAGTCACTAAGCATAAGGTATGAATATTGTCTGTTAATTCTAGAGGATTCTTAATTCATGCTTTTCAACATCCTTCTCTTTAATCCCTTGCTTGTTTCTTCATTTTACATCACCCAATTCCTGTAAAAGAGGATGGTAAGAGAACGCTAACACACTCTTTCAAACACACACTCACATACTGACATATGCTATTCCTACACTCAAACGCACCACTCACACACTCAAACACACCACTCACACACTCAAACACATCACAAACTTACACTTAACTCTCAGACATCCATACATTCATTACTTCCACATACACTTGAAAAGACGCATGCATACACACACACATACATACACACACATACATGCACACTTACATCACACAAAGACACACAAGGACAGTAATTCTCACACAACTCATATACTGTCACACACATTCACACTCACATATACACATTCACAGACACTCTTTAAGTAAAATGCTCTCTCACACACAAACCCAGTCACACACTCATACAAGTACATATACTCATTTAGTTACACTCATGCGTACACACTCATGGGCCTGTATTCACACACTTAAAAACACTTGCATATTCCAACTCCCATAAACTCTCACACACAAACACACTTGCAAACACTTTTGCACACACTCTCAGAGATCTCTAATGCATTCTCATACACACACATATGACTCATAAACATACTTACCACGTTTTGGCATACACTCACACTCATACACACTTACATGCATGCACTCTTTCATGCACTCACTCTCACTCAAATACACAGGATCCCACAGCCACACACAACACTCACAGACATACACACACACCTTACATATCAAACACACACAGACTTACACTTTTTCACACGCTAACATTCCTCCCAAATTCATACACAAGAATATACAAATACACACTCAGACATGCTACAGACTTCCAGATATATGCACTCACATGTTCAGATACATATGCACTCACAGACACTCACAGACTCATAGACTTAGCACACACAAATGCACACACTCACAACACACAGCAAAGGATACGATTCTTCCTCAGGTACGGCAACAGCATCATTTCAAGATCGACATGTTGCTCTACCACCTGTGCAAGAGAAACACAGTTACACACACAGGACCAAGAGCTTGTGTTAGTGGAGACAGAAACGAACCACGCCCCCAAATACACAGACTAAAGCCGTAGACGCCAGTGCCGAGCCAGGCAAGGCTGTGTAGCTAGACACACTGAAGCATCTGGGCTGGCAGACAGTCTGCTGCAGCCACGGAAACAGGATGGAAGGTCAAGGCTCCCTGGAATCCTGCTTTCTCTACATTGATTAAATTCTTTAAAATTAATGTTGTAAGCAGGCATGTGCTACACAAACAGGTATGTAAGCAAAGCACCCATACACATAAAATAAAATTTGAATTCAATGTTTTAAGTTAGTGCATCAAGCAATGGATTGGGGCATTTTTATGTTATTTCTGTCCTTCCTCTCCCCACTGAGGTCCCCCAGCTGGTCCTCTTTTCTGCTTGCATGTCCCATGGCATTCATGGAACAGGCAGCACCATGGCGTCTTCATATAGTCACAAACCCTAGTCGTCTCTCTTCATGTTGTGTTACTCTGTCCCTCTGGGAAGGAAGGAAGAGAGGGAAGAGAAGACACACACCCAGTGCTGACTCCTCCTGCAACTCTACTCAGGCCCTTGCAGGAAAAATCAAGCCCTTTTTGAGGAACATGCAATACAGAAGACTGCATCGCATGCGCGCCCATACACACACACATTCACACTCACACACACACGCCCATACACACACACTCACACTCACACACACACTCACACACACACACTCACACACACTTTCCATAGGATGAGCCCAGTCCTCAGACAAACTTCACAGCAGCTCATTTACTTTACTCTCTTCCCTCTTTTTCACAACTCACACGTTCACTCTAAGAACATCTAAGGTTTGAAACCCTGGGTTATTTCTAACCTTTCTTTCTGCCCACTGCAATCAGTGTCACCAAGTTCTGCTCCTTGGAACTGAAAATGATTCTCGGCTACACTGCCACCAGCAACATGGAGCCTGCACAATTATAACAGAGTCTCAGCAGTCTCTGCTTCCTGTGAGACTTTCCTGCAGGAGTGACAGCTCTAAAACCCCAGTCTTACCATCACCTCTAACTGCATGCCACCAGGGAATCCCTGAACCAGTCAGACACACATCATGACCCGCTCTTCCACCTGGAATCCGGATTTCTTGGAGAGCAGCCAACTTCAGTGAATTAGTGCCAGAGTCCCTGTGTTTGAGAACTTAAACCTCCTGGCCCCATGTCTTTGATAAACATCAAGCTGACTTAGGCCATGTGAACTCAGACAGTGCACAGACTTTTAACTTTTACTGTTTGCACTCATAGTTTCTCTCCTGCAGAACAAAAAGCAAAAGCCAGAGGCCTACTGCTCAGGTCACCAGAGCACCCTGAAGGTGTTCAAGGAGTCCGTGCAAAGGCAGCTCTGAATCACAGAGACTGGCTTTTCACAGGGACCTTCTCTCCAGTGGCTTCTCATGCTTCTTCGAACACCCCTTCACTTGCTAACCAATGGTGAAACACATGCTTCACTAACATAGGGAGGGACAAAAATGGGCAGGAAAAGCTGGTATGATGTTTGCTTGTTTCTGTGGGGGTTAGGAGGGGATAATTTCAAAACCTAAACCAGTATTTCTAGAGTCTACTTTACAATCATGACAGAACATTTGGCCCCAGGACTAGGTCCAAGGCACCTGGAGGTCCCCAGTGGTGCCAGCAGTAGGACTAAGAGATTAAATGAGTCTTCAGGTAAGAAACAGATTTTTATTCTTAAAAATCAATAGAGCATAAGGTTTCACTACTTGTAATAAACTCCTTTTTGGAAGCAGGGGAGGGAGAAAGTGAGAGACTGCAGACTCAGCATGGTGGCTGCCTTCCTGAACTCAGCACTGAGCATCACCAATAAGGCTGCACTCTGGCCCCTGGCACTTCTGCAGCTCCAACAGTTGTTCTCTGGGGTGGGGGGGAGAATTCTCCTGCCCCAGGACCTGTGCATCATGTTTCTCTGCCCAAAATGTTCTTTCTGCGTTACATACATTGCTTGGCTGCCTCATCTCAGACACTGCTCCAATGGCCCAGCTCTGAGGGGGCAGGAGAACCAGAAGGTGAAGGTCATCCTTGGCTACATGTCATGTTCAAAGTCCACCTGGGCTACATGAGACCCCATCTCAAAACCAAAGGTTTTCAGATGATAAACTTTGTCACATAATTTTCATTGCTTCCTTATCATGGAATAACATGGTCAGTGCAAAGAAATACTTTTGCAGGCATTTCTCAGCTTCTTCTCTGTGAGGTATCTGCATCAGAATATTTCAGCTGGCTTTTTAGAACCAATTCCACATGCTGGTATGCAGCCTTGATGCAGGTGGGGGTGGAGCTTGGTCCTGCAGCATCTTGATGTGCCCTGCTTTGGTGACTTCCCTGGGAGGCCTGCCCCTTTCTGAACAGAAAGGAATGGATGGGGCAGAGATAGAAGGGGAGGGGAGGGAACAGAAAGAGAGGGAGTGGAAACTGTCGTTGGTTTGTAAAATAAATGAAAAAACTAATAAAAAAATTTTTCTAGACACTCAGAACAGACATTGTGATGGACGTTGGCCACAGCATAATCCCAGCCCTTGACATGGGCCAGGTACGTGCAACTCTTTTGTCTGTTTACTCTTTGTGGGACATAAACTACTCTGAGGTCTCAAGAGGAGCCATCCACTTACTGGTCACCTGAGAACCTTCCCCTAGTAGGCTGGGACTGTTCCAGGTCAGTCAGGGAAGAGTTTCATCTGCCTCCTTGGTGGAAAACATGACAGTATGTGGACAGACCCTGTGAGGACTCATCTTGAGTTATCATTGCAATGGCTAAGCAATAGGTAAAACCCAAGTCCTCTGACCTGGAACCTAGCACTGAATGGAACATATAGAAATGTTTTTATGTGGGCTCCTGGTGACTCTCTCCAGACACCCTGGAAGGTCCTTGAACTGCAGTTCTCAAGGGCAGACAAGCAGTAGAAAAGACTCCTGGGAGTATCGCCTCTCAGGTAGTCATTCCTTTTTTTCTTTCAGAATGAAGGCGCATTTATTCAAGGAATGGAACTCTACACCATGGAGGAGCTGAGCTACTCTCCCCAGGGCATTCTGTACAGCCGTGGCCCAAGCCAGTGCAAAATCCCTGCCATCTGTGACATCCCTACAGAGATGCACATTTCTTTTCTGCCCCCATCTGAACACTCAAACACCCTGTACTCATCTAAGGTAAGCTCTGCTCCATGACTGATGTCTGTAGGGTGGACAGATATTGGTCTGCTTGATTGTTCCATGTCTACTGAGATAACAGAAGGAGTCCTTATTGAACATTCTAATGATAAAGTAACTTAATGGTAGGGTAAAATGCTTCAAATATTCCCAATCTGCCTAACATGAACTATCAGATTCCAGTTTGTCATTTTACGTTACAGTAATCATCTTTATGTCTATATGTGTTTGCTCTATTTGAAATCATTTTCTTAGGCTAGAATTCCAAGTATAAGAACAGTAAGATCATTCTGGGTCTGAGTTACCTCACTCAGGATGTTTTTCTAATAGCATCCTGCAAATTTCAACATGTCATTGTTCTTTTTTTACCACTGGATAATACTCCATTGTGTAAATATACCACATTCTCTTTATTAACTGTTCTGTTTATGAGCATCTAGATTATTTCCATGTTCTGGCTATTACAAATAATGTTGCTATGAACATAGTTGAGCAATTGTCATTGTGGTATGATTGTGCATTCTTGGGGTATATACCCAAGAGTGGTATTGCTGTGTCTAGAGCTAGATTGAGTTCCAGTTTTCTGAGAAACTGCCATACTGATCTTCAAAGTGACTGTACAAGTTTGCACTCCTACCAGTTGTGGAGGAGTGTTCCCCTTACACCACATCCTTTACAATATAAGCTATCATCAGTGTGCTTTGTTTTGTTTAGTTTGGATTGGTTTGGTTTGGTTTGAGACAGTGTCATCAGCGTTTTTTTTATCTTAGCCATTCTGATAGGTACAAGATAGTATTTCAGAGTCGTTTTGATTATCATTTTCTTGATGGGTAAGGGGGGTTGAGCAATTCCTTAAAAGTCTTTTGGCCATTTGAGTTTCTTCTGTTGAGAATTCTGTTTAGATCTGTACCCCAGCCTGGGTTTTATAGCAATAGTCTGTCCCTACAAAAAGGGTCTAAGGATATAGTTGGTTACGTAGTACTTGTCTAACGTGTTCAGGGCCCTTGGTGCATTTACAGTATTGGAATGAGAGAAAGAGAGAGAAAACCACAAAATAGGAAAAGATATTTGCACATGTATGACAAAAGTCTCCTGTATAGAACACTTGCAACATAGTAGTTAAAAAAACAAATGACTCCAGGTTATTCATTATTTTTAATTGACTGATACTGCCAATAGAAGAGATGTTTAAATGGCCAATCAGCACATGAGAAGATGCTCAGCTTTGTTTGTCCTTGAGACTTTGTTTGTAGGTCAAAGTCATAGTGAAACACTACTCACGTACACTGTGACAGATGTAGTTGAAGCAATTGGATAGTGACATGTGTTAGCAGGATATGGATAAACTAGAGGCTCTATTCATTGTGCTAAGGGGATGCACACTGTGCAGCCACTTGATAACAGTCAGGCAGTTAAAAAGTTAATCAGAATTTCCACATTATTATAGGATTTAACACATCTTCACAGATAAATCTACACACAAACACTGAGCATTTTTCACAGTACCAAAAATGTAGGAAAATATAACCCCAACTGTTAATGTTCAATAAATGAAATGAAATATATTCACAAAAGTGAATTCGTTCAGTCCTTCAAAGGGATAAAGTATGTATACACACTACAGGAGATGTGATAGGTGAAAGCATTATATAAAATGAAAGAAAATACACAGAAAATGACATCTATATTCCACCTATACAAAAGGTCTCAAATAGGCAAGTTCTCAAAAAGGAAGTGAATGAGTGTTTGCTAGAGCCTGAAGAGACAGAG